GCGTATCACATACGGTAAGAGTATTTAGGGTTTTGTGGAAGTTTTGCTTCATACATATGTGTGTACGTGTATGTAAATATACACTTAAACACATACTTCGTCGTGATGAAAATCTATTTCTTAGTGAAACATTTGAAATACGCTGCTACAGAATGGCCCCAATTTAGAGATGTTGTTGCTCTTTCTCTGGAGTGTGCCGAGTTTATTAGAAATGTGGCTAAAATGAAAGTAAGTGAGGCCAGAAGGATTTTCTCTCCTGTTTTGAAATGTTTACAGGATTGATTACATCGGAATATTTAAAGAGGAAAGTAAGATAGAAGGTAGGTCAAGAGCGACAGTGTCACGGCTGCTGCCATCAATAGTAAAACACGCTTCCGTGGGTCCTGAAGGTGAAGACCACAAGCGGTGGTTTTCACCTGTGGTTACACATGACTTTTAGGGAGACTTAAAATTTTGTTTTAAAAGATTTTATTTATTTGTTTATTTGAGAGAGAGATAGCAAGAGAAAGCATGAGCTGGGCGGGATGTGAGGGGGAGGGGCAGAGGGAAAGGGAAAAGGAGAACTCCGCGCTGAGCAGGGAGGCCAACACGGCTTGGTCCCAGGACCCCAGGTTCATGACCTGAGCCAAAGGCAGACGCTTAACCGACTGAGCCACAACTGGAGAGACTGGGGTTTAGATTACATATATCAGGGGTCTTTCTTCTGGGTTCTGAATTGCTGGATGCACGTACTCCAGAAAATACTTCAGTTTTCACTGTGTTCACAATAGGAATACTCTGAGTATTATTTGGTTATTCACAAGGCATTTGTTCTGGAATGCTACAGATATCTGAAATATGAAGACGGAGATTGTTTTGACTTAGGAATGTTTGTACATTCTTGATTTAATGTCTGCCCTTGAGAAATGAAAAAGTTGCTAATCGAATGTCATTTATAAAAAGTTAGAGTTTTCCCCTCCCCCTCCCCCAGCATCCTTCCCCCTCCTCCTCCCCTCCTCTCCTCTCTCCCCTTCCCCTCCCCTCCACTTCCTTTTTCCTTCCCAGATGTCAGAGGCTGGTCCCACAGGGCAGTGGGACTAAAGGGGGCTTTCCAGTGTCATAGTGGTGGTGTGCATATGCCTGAGTACTTGGGGTGCAAAGGCTGGGAACCTGGAGGTGTGGTGAGCTGGGAAGGGGCTGAGATGGTTAGGAGGTTGATTACATCGAGTAAGTAAGTACATTGATTGAGCAAATACATACATACAAGGGAAATGAGAGCCAGGCTTGTCTCTGTTGGAGAAGGTAGATAGAACCTAACTGGGAGATAGTCTTGGCCATTACGGGGAAGGAGTCCCTTTCAGTGTAATTCACTTAATGGGAGAACATCCTCTGGATTCCAGTAGGAGTTTCTCTGGGTTCTTTGGGGCCCAGGGACAAAAGCGAGGTGTGGGTGCAGCCATCCAGTGGCCTGCTGGGAAATGAACTGAGCCGCGGGAGGCCTTTTAGTGGGCGCCATTGGTATGGGCATTATCCGAGCTCCAGAGTAGTAGTGTATCCTGGACACAGAATACACACACCTCTTATTACCAGTCCAGTAAGTGAGTGGAACTCCGGGGGGCAAGGGATGAATCCTGTTTGCCACTCCCTTTTGTAAAGACATAAGCTTTTCTTTTTCTATTTTTCTCCGGGGCATATTCAGAATAAAGTGGACACACCCAGCCCTTTCACGTACATATCTGACTTTAAAAAACTCTTAATGCCATTAGTTAGTCCAACCTCTTAATGCCAGTGGTTACTAAGTGAGTTAGTTTATAGTTCTTTTTAGAGCATGGCACAATGAGAAGATACCAACTTTAAATCATATGCAGTTGCTTGTTAAAAAAATAATAATGTATTCTCATTTGTCAGTCCAAATGTTAATTGATGTAAACATGAACTATCTGGTCGCCATTGTTCTGATCCCCAAAAAGGAGGTGTAATCTGCTATTGCAGTTACCTGAATGTAGAATGGATAGCTGCCCAAGACCAGAGAAGAATCATAAACTCTACTCAGTCAGTCAGCTGCTATCAGGAATTCTTCCGGGTCTCAGAGAAAGGAGAACTGCGACTGAACATTTGAGTTATTTGTTGACACAGTGTGGGAATATTTAAATCTTTGACGAATGCACGTAGACCCTTCAAAGAAGAAACCCATAAACAGCAAGGGTAGGCGTCATGGTAGAGGACAAATCTAGTTAGGAATTCAAGATTAGAGGATACATATCTGAAACATACACATAAAGTAGAATGGGGAGATAGTGCGGTTTCTTTTACTGTTTCCTTATTTAGATTGATAAAGCTCGTCCTGCTTGACCCCTTTTCTGATTTGTTTTGAACTGTGTTGGAGTACCAGTAATTGTTGCTGGGTAACAAGCCAGCTCCCCAAATTAGTGGCCTAAAACAACAACCATTTATTTGTGCCCAGTTCTCTGGGATAGCAGTTTAGGTGGACTTTAGGTTGAGGTGTCTTCTGCTGGTCTCAGCCGGCATCATGCATCTGACTTTAGGCATCTGGTGGCCTGACCGGGCCTGGGTGGCCTAAATGGCTTTGCTCAAAGCTGGGTGTCAGGATCTGCAGCTCAGGGCACCTCAGCCATGCATGTGGCTCAAGCCCATTCACATCATGGCTTCCAGCCACGGCCATAAAAAAGGGGTTCCTCCTACACAGGTACTTTTCACGCCTCTGCTTATGTCTCATCTTATAATGTCCCACTGGATATTTGACAGTCAGGTCACACGGACGAGTCCAAACTGAAGGACTGGAGGAATAAATGATCTTTTGATAGAAAGAGTGGCAAAGTCACATGTCAAAGGGATGTATGCCTACAGGGGTGGAAGGAATTGTTCTAGCCATCTTTGCAAACAATATCCCACAGTAGGAACCTGAGGGGAAAGGATATAGTTTAAAGGTTTGTTCGGTGGCAACACGTGGCATATAGGTTTCATAAAATCTTAGGCACTGTATGCAGTGTACTTGCTATTTTATTTCAACAGAAGAATAATTATATGAGAGTCACTTTCTTAGTGACGAGCTGGCCCTGTACAAATCAGTCATTCAGTTAACAAATATTTACGGGGCATCATTAATGGGCCAGGCCGTTTCGAGGTGTTAGGGGAAGAGCTGGTGGGGGGGAAGCACACATAATTCAGTGTGTATAAAAGTCACAAGTAACAAAGAGAAACTTATAACTCAGTCGTGTGGCTTTTGATTTTGGGTTTGAGGCAGCAGAGTTGTTCAATTTGTCAGAATGCTACAGAGGCAGATTTTTATCAAGAATGTAGCTGCTGTTAAGTTTGGTTTTAAAGAGCAGCTTGACCATTGGTTTCTCTGCCGAGAGCAAATATCTGTCTCAATTATTGTGGTTCTAGAAATTACCTAAAAAAGGTGAGTCATGTGCTTTTCTGCTGAAGAAGGCTGGTCTTTTAATCAGCAGATATTAAAAGAATAACCAGCCATTACATTTTCATCTCTACCATTGTAGCTAATTCTAGTATATTCGCTAGAAGCGATTGAGACCATTACTCAGTCTCCAGCATCTCCCACCTCCTTGCCCAGGTAGGTTGGAGTGGGAAGAAACCTTTTTGAAAATGCAGAAAGTTAGGAAACTTGGAATCATTTCTCGTCAGGCTAGATTAATTGGTCCTAGTGATAGAATGTCAGAAATGAATGTCAGAAATAAATGTAGAAACTGCGTGGGAACAGAGTTGTCTTTCACAACAGGGGTCTTGTCTATGCTTGAGAGGATGAAAAAGTATGTGTAGAAATGACCTGTTCAGTTTTCCGGGTTCAGGGAGAAGTCTTTTGTAATTAAAATAATTGTGACCTATGTTAAAAAAAATCAGAACGTTCATACTGTTCTGTTTGCTATTCCGTTCAGTTTTCTAGAAAGATCTGACAATCTTGAATCCAGTGGTGGCAATACGGGAAAAATTTGTTGCTCTAAAAAATGCCACCTTTTGTTGCATGACACTGGAAAGGTGGGAAAGTTAGAGTTGACTTTTTTCCTTTCTTTTTTTCTTTTACCTCTTTCTTAAAAAAATTTTTATCACTTACCTGTTTTTGTTCATGTCTCCACGCTGCCCCCCTCCCTCATGATGTTGAAACTGAAAGGAAAAATGAAGCCACTAAAATGAGTTTCAGTTACGTGACTTTTGCTCATGGCCTGGTGCTAGTCTTTGTACGGAATGAACTGAATCGGACTACTCTTGCTGCCAGGAATCCAGATCAAAATGAAAAGGAAGATTAATAGCGTTCCAGTTTGTAGTGTGAGAGGGTTCATGTCTGCTAAAATACAGTATCGATCCCTCTAGAAGTACATTTACATTCCACATTGAATTTAAATTTGACATTAAATATACTCTCCTTTAGAAAGTACATTTAAATTCTGATGTTACAGTATGTTAGATAGAATATGAGATTATGTTGTTTGAACGCCCAAGGGATCAACGTGGCTCTCATACGGAGCTGTCTGCTGTCAGAGCCCATTGGAGAGATTGACGGGCTGGGGTAAGGCCAGTCCCAAAGTAAAGGCCCTAGTTGATAGGTATGGATGTGGTTCAGGCGGAGGGAAATCCTGGGTTACAGTGGACGGCAGGATAAAGATGAGAGAAGGAGACACCAGTTCTAACCGGAATAAGAGAAAGCATAGCTGTTGCTCAAAATTAGCTGTGGTTGGTGACGAAACTTTTGGCAAGTGTGACAGGACTGTGAACTCTTACCCAGGACCTTAAATTAATCTAGAGATTTATTTTGAAAGGTATTTTCAATGTATAAATCTGTGCCTTCCATTTATCAGCAAAATGAATAAACATTATTGACCATGTGTCTTTGGAGATATTAAGTGTTCTTGAAAAGTATGAATGGTCACGCAGTAGAACTAGTTTTGTTTTTAAAAGGATGAAACCATGAGACAGTGTGATTTAAGATGTTAAAACATGTCCTGTGTAATAATGAGGATATTTTTTGTTCTTTCTTTTGCCAGACGTACATTGGAAGTGTGGTTATATCGGTTAACCCATACCGGTCCTTACCCATTTATTCACCGGAGAAAGTAGAAGATTACAGGAATAGAAATTTTTATGAACTGAGCCCTCACATGTAAGTACGGGACTGAGGCGCTAAGTTTCTCTTTCACTGCAGGGATGTGTAGTTGACAGATGCGTCCAGCTGTTTCCCTCGAGTCTCAGGAAAATGTTGTCGTCATTTTTTAAAATTAGAGGAAGGAATGTGAAAGTCAATTGTTATGCCTTATTTTAAATTTCAAAAAAGGCAGAATACTTCATTTGGCGTCAGACTCTTCAAGTTCTGATATATTTGGGTTCAGTATGTAAAATATGTTCTATTGCAAATTGTGTATAAGTAGCAGCTGCTGCTAATTATTTTTGCAAATAAAACAAGAATGTACATTGTTTATTCTTTTAAAGAGCCCAAGCAGCATTTTCGTGGGTTGGGTCAAGAAAGATCCCAAGTGTTGGGTTGTGTAATGGTTTTTCAGCAAAAGGAATAGATAATACCTTCAGTTTATAAATCTTCATAGACATTGACATTGTTCACCAGATGTGTATATGAGGCCAATGATTTCACCTTCCCCAAAGATAGTCACTTGTTTGATTTTTTTCTGAAGGTCACTTGTTAGTGTAAAGAATTTCTATAAATAACAAGCTACAATAATTACATAGCGCCAAGGTTGAAGAACTCTGAACTAAAGTGAAAGAGCCTGTAGACTTTTAGTTGTGGTCTAGCAGAAAAGAATTTTCTCTCTCTGATTGAAGATGAGCTATGGGCTCTGTTACTTTTGATAGAAAATAAAATCTAATAATTAAAGAATATATATATACCCCAGTCTTAGATGTTTCTCTTGATAGCGTAGCACATACTGACATTTTTGGACTGTTTGGAACTAAAAATTTAAGTTAATTCCTGAAAATGGTTGTTAAAAGCTAAATACTGTATATTTTGCCAATCAAGTAGATTCTGATTATTCTGTTTTTGTCTACAAGTGGATTTTGCAAGTCATCTTGTTTCGTTTTGCCTGGAGAAAAATAAAATCTTGAAATTTGTTTTATAAAGTTATCCCTGTAGTTAAGTCCCTGTAATGAAATACTTTATTTTTTTCTGCATTTTATTTATTTTTATTTTTATTTTTATTATTTTTTTATTTTTTAAAAGATTTTATTTATTCATTCATGAGAGACAGAGAGAGAGAGAGAGAGGCAGAGGGAGAAGCAGGCTCCCAAGGAGCAGGAAGCCCGATGCAGGACTCGATCCCAGGACCCTGAGATCATGACCTGAGCCGAAGGCAGACGCTTAACCATCTGAGCCACCCAGGCGCCCTTTTTTTTTTTTTTTGCATTTAAAAAAATTTTATTATGTTATGTTAATCACCATACATTACATCATTAGTTTTTGATGTAGTGTTCCATAATTCATTGTTTGTGTATAACACCCAGGGCTCCATTCAGTACTTGTCCTTTTTAATACCCATCACCAGGCTAACCCATCCCCTCACCCCCATCCCCTCTAGAACCTTCAGTTTGTTTCTCAGAGTCCATAGTCTCTCATGGTTCGCCTCCCCTCCAATTTCCCCTCCTTCATTTTTCCCTTCTTACTCTCTTCTTCTTTTTTTTTAACATATAATGTATTATTTGTTTCAGAGGTACAGGTCTGTGATTCAACAGTCTTACACAATTCACAGCGCTCCCCATAGCACATACCCTCCCCAATGTCCATCCCCAGCCACCCCATCCCTCCCACCCCCCACCACTCCAGCAGCCCTCAGTTTGTTTCCTGAGATTAAGAATTCCTCATATCAGTGAGGTCATATGATACATGTCTTCCTCTGATTGACTTATTTCGCTCAGCATAATACCCTCCAGTTCTATCCATGTCGTTGCAAATGGCAAGATTTCATTCCTTTTGATGGCTGCATAATATTCCATTGTGTGTGTGTATATGTGTGTGTATATATATATATATATACCACATCTTTTTTATCCATTCATCTGTCGATGGACAGCTTGGCTCTTTCCATAGTTTGGCTATTGTGGACATTGCTGCTATAAACATCGGGGTGCACATACCCCTTTGGATCCCTACATTTCTGTCTTTGGGGTAAATACCTGGTAGTGCAATTGCTGGATCGTATGGTAGCTCTATTTTCAGCTTTTTGAGGAACCTCCATACTGTTTTCCAGAGTGGCTGCACCAGTTTGCATTCCCACCAACAGTGGAGGAGGGTTCCCCTTTCTCCGCATCCTTGCCAACATCTGTCGTTTCCTGACTTGTTAATTTTAGCCACTCTGACTGGTGTGAGGTGGTATCTCATTGAGGTTTTGATTTGGATTTCCCTGATGCAGAGCGATGTTGAGCACTTTTTCATGTGTCTGTTGGCAATTTGTATGGAACCAGAAATACTTTATTTGATGACTATTTGTTTTAAATTCTAGGCCTTGAAACCATGCTTCCCAGAGTAAGATGCTTAGATCAGGGGTGTTAGAATCCCCCAGGAGCTTATGAAATATCTAGTTTCCTAGGCCTTAACTCTAGCAAGCCAGGAATCTACATTTTTCACAAGCTTTCCAGGTGATTCTTATGTACGTGCAAGTGTGAGAACATGTTGTCTTAGATGTATATTTACCAATATTTTCCTTTCCTTAACTGCTTATAGCAAATCATGATCTTTATGCAAGCAGTCTTCATAATATAATAATGGTTTGTTATTTATTATTTACATGTATGATAACTCATTTTATTCTCAGAATAATTCTGTGAGGTGTAGGTATTATTACAAATGGGGAAATTTTCCCAAAGCCATGCAGCTCATGGGTGGGGAGCTGGGCTGTGAAAACAGTGCCTCTCAGCTAGAGATGGGTTTTGCCATTTTCTTGGCAGGGCCTCTTGCTGTGCACCTCCATCAGCACCCCAGGCCCTCCAAGGTCACCTTAGCTGTGCCTCACTTTATCTCCAGAGACTGCCTGTCATTCTTCCATTTGCAGCTTTAATCTCCAGTTTGGGGATGTTTAGATATATAACAGATGTCTATTCTAGAACACAGAAGTTCATGCTCTGTAATATCCATTTTTATCCCCACCCCTGGAAGATTTCTAAGAGTCTCTGTGGCACTGCTGCCCTCGTTTACCCCCTTACTTCCCAAGGGATCTAGCCACGATGAGCTATAAGATAATTATCCAGTGTACAATTTTTTTTTACTCAGTAAATGTTTGTTAGATTGAGTTAGGCAACAAAACTTTTTACCATGGTCTATGAAACACCGTGCATGGGGTGGCGGTGCAAAGTCCAGGTTTATCTAATGAATCTGAATTTGCCAGATTTGTATCACACCCGCCTTCCCATCTTGCTTTGTTCTTTAAGTCCTCACCACACTCCTTTCCACCGGGTCATATTTCCACATTCTGTACCTTCTTCCTGGAATGCTTTTCCCTCCCTTTTCCCCAGGCAACTCCTGTTCTTCTGCTAGTTCTCAGATTGCCTTAGACCTCCTCAGGGAAGGACCGTCCCTTGCCCCCTCCCGGCCAAGGTCAGATCCCTTGCCCTTGTCACAGTTCCAGGTTAATATTGCTTTATGGGATTTTTTGATTCATGTCAGCCTCACCTGGCATGCCAGCTCACCATAACGTTATTAGTGCCTCAAAGTAAGTTAAGTGCTGGGAATATATTGAACAGGACTTGGGACTCGAGTCCCAGCTCTTCCACTCGCAAGCTATGTAATCTTGAGCAAATTACTTGAAAAAAACTTCAACTCAGAAATTAAGCAATTTGCTCTGTTCAGTGGGAAAATAATTATTAACTCCTAGGATTTTTGTGAGGGGTAACTATCTAGTAGATATTTAGATAATATAATTATCTGGTATATGTCAAGTGCTTAGTATGGAATGGGCCACAGCCTTGTAGTAAAGGAGAGCAGCTGCTATTAACAGTGATAAATGTAATTATTGTAATAATGAGAAGTATGGAACACATTTTGAGCATCCTAACATGCCCTTTCTTACCAGTTTCTCCTCCATGGTGGGACATTTTCTACTTCCTTTATTTATTTATTTTTTTAAAAGATTATTTATTTGAGAGAGAGCGAGAAAGAAAGCTCGAATGGGAGGGTTAGAAGGAAATGGAGAGAGAATCTCAAGCAGACTCCATGCTGACCATGGAGCCCGAGGCTCAATCTCAAGACCCTGAGATCCTCACCTGAGCCGAAACCAAGAGTCGGATGCTTAACCGACTGCACCACCCAGGCGCCCCTCCACTTCCTTTAAAGCATTTTCCCTGCATCATTCTTTGTGAATGTCCAACTTTAATAGTGTCTGAAATGGGGTTCGTGCTAGCTAGGTTTCTTACTAAAACCTAGTCCGACATTCTCAAATAGGAATTTTGCAGTATAATAAGATAGATGACTTTAGGCTTTTGATGTATTCTAATGGTAACTCTTTTAAGAACTTGATCCCAATTGGAATAAAAAACTTAAACAGCTGCTCAGACCACGTATACTTTGAAAATTTTGCCAATTAATTTACCCCAGATGACATTTGGAATTTAATTTGACCTGGTATTGACTATTAGTCTTCGGAAATATCCAGGTACTTCTCTTCTAGCTCATGTATTTTTGAAGGTGTCCAGAAATTATCTTTCTTTAAATTTCAGATCATTGAAAAATATTTACATTTCATGTGGGTATGTGACTTTGAGATAGTGTATAAATGAGTAAAATGAGTATAAATGAGTAAAATGAAAATAAACAGTGGTTTCGTACCTATATTCCTTTTCAAAGGTATTTTCTGCTGGCATACCTCTTCTCCTGCTCCCTTCTTCTCTGAACTCCTCCCCCCTCTGTGTTCGGAGCCACACCTTGAGTGTGGTATCCCTGGGGGTCATGTCCAGAAAAAGGAGGCGTCCATGGGGCAGCTTAGATGACACCGTTTGCCTTTCCATTGTGTAAAGAGTGCCTCTCCAATGTGATTCTAAGGTTCTTTGGACATTAGGAATTTTTTTTTTACGTATCCCGGTGAGGACTTAGTACCTTCAGATAACTCAAGAACTGTATTCATGGAGAAGTACCTCAGATCACCCAACCGCATAGATAGGAAA